CCCAGCGAGGTCAACGTTTGCGGTACCAGATCCGCTATTTGTCGTCGAACGCCATTTAGATGACGTTGCTCTGTCGGAATGACACAAAGTGAACGGTCGGGAGCGCGGCATCTGTCAGGTGGACTCAGTCAACATGCGTCACCGTGCCTGAATCCTCAAGGATGGGGTCGGGCAAACCTCTTGGCAAAAAGCGCTCACAGACGTTTCTTCCGAGGCGCTTTTTGTCGCCGGCGCTGCCGAGGCTTGTTCAACGTGAAGCTCATCACGTGTCCATGGGGAAAGAGAGTGGGGGGGTTGTGACGTCTGTCAGGCCACCTGAAGCTTTGGATTAGGGTTAGGCCTTCCCCCACCCCTATGCCGGGGACCTCCCACATCAAAACGAAGACCAGACATGTTTGTTTTTTTTTTTTTTAACCTGGTGTTAAATTCGTTTCTCGGGAACGGCAACAGTTTCCGTAGGTCACTTTAATTTATCCAAATGTGTCAAACTAAAAAGTAACGCCAAACAAAAACAATGCAATGTATATGCTAAAATAAATGATGTATTTACTGCAATATAAGATCTTAAAACTTAGCGTAATGTCAGTAATTGGTCTTCTTTTGGGAATTTTGAACAGTGTGAAATGTTTTTGGAAAGGAACAAGCAACATTTATTATGATTGCTTTGGCTCTATTGTTTTACGCACTCGCAAACGCGGCCTGCTAGCCATCACAACCGCTAGCAAGAGGCTGAGCTACGCTGTATCATTTTCTGGAGCAGACGTGCGGGAGTAATACTTCCTATCCCTTCGTAAAATGTTCAGTGAAGGTCGTTCGGCCGATCCAAATCCACATTTGCAAGCACAACGGAGATTGCGTCAGTGCCGCAAATGTTCTGAACTCCTTTTCCGTGCCAGTGTGTCACAATTCACATGGTTAATATTTGTTGTGATGTGAGTGTTTTCCTACAAGTGTGGGTGGGACATGGGCTCATCATGGCAAGGGGAAACGAGATGGTGGACATTGGGGGGTGACTGATGTGGTCTGGAGGGGAGGGGGCTCTTCCTTTCCAAAATGCTCGCCCCGACCACTGTTATCTCTACCAAAACAATGGCACCCCCCCTGCCCCCATTACCACCACCAGAGCCGCCATCACTGCAATCAGGCAGCACATTTCCAGGCCTCTTTTTTTTTTTCAGGCCATTGTTGTGACAAAAGCACTCAAGGCTGATTCTTGCCGGCTTTCTCTTTGCTGTCACACACTGCCGTGAGCGCGCAGCCTCCACGCGCAAACAATAGCGAGCGGTCAGTGTGAGCTGTCACTTGAGATTGGAGCTCATGGCTTCATTCCCTTTTGTGTTTTGTAAACATTCTTGCTTTTTTTTTCCATGTGTTGTTTTGTCTTTGTGAATTGTTGGGGTGAGGGGGGTTTGGGCACTGATCTAAGTGGTCCAATTGGACACAGAGCTAATAGATGTGTATGCAGGTTACCGCACTTATTTTTGATTGACACAAGGTTACAGGTCATTAAACAGTGTTATTGTTATTGTTCAAACAGCGGAAATAGTAACAAAGTAAAAGAAGAATATTCTAAAATAATAGCAAATTAAAAAAAAAAGAACTGAAAAGTAGTTTGAATTCAATGTCGTGTTATCACTTGCAATTGTCCAGGGATTTCTTTGAATCGGGGGGGGGGGGTTACTGGCATCTTGCTAACCGAGCCTGCGCTTCTTGCTACTTCTTTGATTGTCAAAGCGCTTCAAGCACTAGTGAGCCAAACATAGCTAAAAGGGAAAGAGGGCGAGCACTTTAATGAGGGTCCATTGTTGGTGGCTTTAAGTGGAGGTGGCTGGGAGTACTTCAAAGAGAAGCCCCCCCCCGCCACCCCACCCCCAGGCATCGGTGCGTGGGGGTACTAAGGGGGGCGGGAGTCTCGTGGTGAGCAGGTGGGCCTTCCGTCTCTCCTGTGAAATGTGTTCTTTGATCTTGGGAGGGTGATGATATCTTCCTCGGTCCTCTTAACGACGTATGTACACCTCAAGTCCAATCTCACCCACACCCCAGAAGTGCTTGGACGTATCAACAGTACCATTTACCCCTCGCCCACGCAGCTTGACCTTCTTTGGGCCTTTAAGCACCAACGAGATCCCGCAAATTGAAGTTCTTCACACTTAGTGCTTCACAGTTCCTGAAACTCAAGTTTCTAATCAGTTTGGATCAGCTCCACACTCCTTGCTCCAAATTTTTTCTGGATCTCGCAAAAGTAATTAACCTGGAGCACAGGGGCTTATTTTGGCTCCGTAACCTAAATTGAGATGAAATTCCCGCTGTCCAAACACACCGAAAGCTCTCGGGATGAAAAAAGTTCCTCGAGGTAGAAAAGGCACCATTTGAACCTACGGAGAAGTTGGAGGATTCCTCCGCCAGCTGTGTATGTGTGTGTGTGTGTGTGTGTGTGAGACCATGAGTGCATTTGTCACGGCGAGGGAGGGGCCGAGAAAAACACCCAACCTCTCATTTTCACTCCCCCCCTGTAATTCCTGCAGCGTTCCAATAAATCCAGCCTCTCATCCTGCCTGCCTCTTGATGAAAACCAGATGACTCTCCTGCCCACCTCCCTTCCCCCATATCACTCACTCACACAAACACACACTCTCACACTCACGTACATACACGCACACACAGACGTGAACGTACCTGTTGCGCGTTGACAAGACGTGACAGCATTCACATAGTTCATCTGCCAAAGGCACTCGTCACGTCGAGAAAGGTGTCACCGGTCGCTGACATGATAAATGATGCGATGCTTTGTCATTGTCTTGAGCGGCGTACTGTCCAGCATCAAAGGGTTTTGCCTTTTTTTTTTTTTTTTTTTTTAAGCGGCACACAATCCAAAAATATCCATCTTCAGCATCCCTCCCAGAAAAGACCGTCTGTCTATTTCTTAACATCCATCCATCGCTAACCATCCATCCATCAATGCATCCATCCATCCACAATCCACAAATCTTGGTTTTATTATGCCTTGTTTTCATTTTGTGTCACCTTAAGAGGCGCAATGTCACGCAGAGGATGAACGAAGTTGTTAAGCGCCTCGTACCAAAGCGCAGAAAGCGCCTAGTCACCGAGCTTCCTGTCCCACAAGCCTCTTCCGTCGGCAGGTTTTTCATCACCGTTTGCAAAACGTCACCGTTTTTTTTTCCTCGCCGCATTTCAACCAACCACAAGCGTCGACTTCCAAACCTTCACTTTTTGTTGCTCTTCTGTTTTGTTGTTCTATTTCGGAGCGCTTCCTGTTTCAGTTCGGCCCTTCCTCCCGTCTCTTTTCTGTCTTTCCCCCCCCCCCCCAAATGTGTGATTACATGCTTGGTTGAGGCCCCGTTGTGCTTCCACAGCCCCTCATTACTCCGCTTCCCAAGCTCATTTCATCTGCTGCCGCCCATTGCTCTACTGTTGACGTCCGAACCCGCTTCTGACCAGTTGCTAATGCTAACCAAAACAGCAGCACCTATGGAACATGTCTAATGTTCTTTTGTTATCTTTTCCGATGATTATTATTTGAGCGATTTAGCAATTTGGTTATTTCAAGTGTATTTATCAGACGGATTTTTTTTTTTTTTTTACTCAATTTATGTCGTCCGCTCTGCCTCCTGTGTAATAGGTGATGTTGCGTTATGCAGACACTGCATCTTTTTCACAACAATTAGTGGTCGAGTCAACTCTGACATGGAGGCCCCCCACAATGCGTGTGCCTTTTTGTTGATCTTCGAGAGGGATTTATTTGTCCCACAAAGTCTGCCTCCTCCGTAATAGACAATCTTGAGTTATGGTTTCTTTTCTAGCAGACTTTTGACGTGTGGTCGCGCCGCAATGTTGTGTGGGTCCATGTTGATGTTCTGCAGCAATATTTTTTTGTTGCGCCCAGTCTGCATCTTTGGAAACTGATAATTTAGCATGACGTGGAGACATCGTCTTTTACAATAATGAGAGTTCTAGGAGACTGACACATTGTGGTCCCTCCACAATTTTGCGCTCATCCACGCTATGTTCCAGGGTGACTCAATTGTTCCGCCCCGTCTGCCTCCTTTCGTAATCGATAATCTTGTGTTGTATGGAGACACCATCTTTCGTGGCGATTAGCATTCTAGTTGACATGCGGTCCCTCCACAATGTTACAGCATTCCAAGACAACTTTTCTTTGTATTGAGTCTGCCTGCTATGTCAAATATCTTGCATGATGCGGAGACGTGGTCAAATACGATGATTGGTTTTCGAGTAGACTCTGACGCATTTTGGTCACTGGTGCGTCAATAATGACTTTTTATGTTGGAGGGTCACTTGTTCTGCCAAGTAGAGACAACTAATTGGACAACGATTACAGTTCTTGAAGTCCTTGACACTCGGCGACTCCACAATTTTGGGCGCGTCCTTCTTCATGCTCCGGGGAGACCTACTTGCTGCGCCAAGTCTGCCTCCTCCATATTCGATGATTTTGTCTGATGTGGAGATGGTATTTTTGTTTACAGTTAGCAGTCAAGTACATTTTGACATGTACAGTGGTACCTCTACTTACGAAATTAATTGGTTCTGGAAGAAATTTCTCAACTAGAAACTTTTGAAAGTAGAGACGCATTTTCCATGTAAATGCGCTAATTCGTTCCAAGCCCCCTTCAAAATTCAGTAATAGCCAATGGCAGAGCAGCTAGAAGTATATTGCGTTCAGGAAACTCAGAGCTGCGAGTAGCAGGCCAAATTGTATTTTTACCTTTCGTATCTTGAAATTTCTTTCGTAACAAGAAGCAATATTTTCCTGTTGAGGTGTTTTCCGAACTTGAAAATTTCATATGAAGAGACATTCGTAAGTAGAGGGACCACTGTACAGTGTTGTGCACGAGACCATTAAAAACGGTTTTGGTGTTTGTTGTTGTTGTTGCAAAGAGCAAAAGAATGTCAAGAATGAACGAGTGCGACTTTTTCCCAAGCGAATGAAGGGACCACATTTTTTTGTGCCTCTTCCACAGAGGGCTCGGAGGCTTTCCAACAGGTGGTCCAGGAGCGTCTGGCCGAGCTGCTGCGCGTCCTCAAGGCCGTCATCGCCAAACACCAGGCCCTCAACTCGGTGGACATCCTGGGCAAGGCGGGCACGCTCATCGCCAAGGTGAAAGGTAAGCCGTGGCGAACACAGCATGCCGCTGACGCGACACCTGGCCTAGAAATGTCACAGCGCGCTCACCTGCTCTCTATTTGAAAGCGCCGAGGCGTGACCCGGTGCCCGAATTTGCACGGGTACAATGCCAGAAAGGAAACGGCACGGTCCATTGCACTTCAATCACACTGGAAACATGGCGCCGGTCCAAGCAAATTATGACTGAACTGCAAATGATGCCGAGATTATTTATACAGCATCAAACTGATGAATACTGACTATTAATTAATGATCTGCCTTTCAGGAGAACAGTTAGGCTGTGTGTCCAAATGGCAAAAATAGCATTTTGAGGAAGTGGTTGGGGGGGGGCCCAGCTTGCCTCATTTCCATGACATTACAGTGCGCTCCATTTTCTCTTGAGGAGAAACTGCTTCATAACAGTTTTCATTTCAAACTTTGATTGAAATACTACGAGATCATAGAGGCCCAGCCCTCATTTTCCGTGATGTCGAGTGCCTTTTTTGGAAACTATGTTTTTCAGGCTTCTGGTTGGCTAAAATGGCCTTCTGAGGGCAACTGACACATTGCTTCCCGTCGTGAAGTATTTGTGAGCACTGATGAGTCAGCGACGATGCTTGATTGATGACAGGCCTCGCTGAGTGTCCTCGTCGCGTTTGGCGCAACACCTGCGGCGTCTGGAAGCCCGCCAGGGCGTACTTAGACAAACACACGTTCGCCCAACCCATTTGCAGACGCCGCTGACACCGCTCGCCGCTCTGTTGTTCCGAACGTCTCCCAGAGGCACTTTTTGCTTCCACACATGTAGGAAAATATTAAGAAAGAATTCGCCTCGGAGCCGTTGCATGAGAATAGCATGTTGTGGCGGCAGACATCTGTGCATTTCCCACGTTCAGTGAAAATTGGCAAAAAAAGTGGGAAAATAGATGCCACCCAAAAAGTTGTGCGCTTTTTTTTTTTTTTTTTGCAGTGGGGGAAGTACTGGTTTGCACATCCAACTCACAGTGCAGGGGGGCAGGTTTCGATTCCAGCTCCGGCCTTCCTGTGTGGGATGTGCATTTTGTCCCCGTGACTTCGTGGGTTTTCTTCGGGTGCTCGGGTTTCCTCACACGTTTCAACAACATGCATGGCAGGTTAATGGAACACTCTAAATTGTCCCTCGGTGGGATTGTGTGCGCAAGTGTGTGCACACACTCATCTTGAAATATTTGCAAGGGGATGTGCGAGGAATATAAAAGGCAAACTAACGGGAAAATATGACACGTGAACCTATTGAAGACCTGACTTTGTTGTTCCACTTCTTCAGGCAACAAACTAGGTGAGAGTGAATCAACGGTGCCGAGGAATGGGAGGGAGGTGGGGACAAGCTCTGGAATTGTTGTTCCGAGAACCACAGGATGTCCTGAGGAAGAAGCCAGTGCCGTGCAGAGTCGCTCGGCAGCGTTCAGCAGCGCTCCTCGAGAGTCTCCTCAAAACGCAAAATAAACCCTTTTCGGCGGCTGGTAGGAACGTGCTGTCGTCCCGGAATTTGCCGTCGCGGAGGGAAAACGGCAAAAGCTAAAACAAATAAGAAATAGCGGACCTGAGCCTTACGTATTCAAGGTTTTTTAAGGTAAGCGAGAGAGTGACAGAAGTAGAGCTTGTGCGCGAGTGTTTCCTGTTCCAGCGCAGACAGGAAACACAACGTCCAACGTCACCGGCTGCTACTTTGGTCACAAAACGGAGTTCTTGCTGACGAAAGTGCTTCCTGAAGATTTTTCACCTTCGATGGTCCTCAACTTTTTGCTGCAAAACTCTTGAGGATGGGCAATTGCTAATGCTGTTTCATTGCGGATTATAACACCCTGGACCGGATTTTTCTAAAGGTGACTCTTTTGTTTTGACTCAATATCCTGAAGGGTTCTGTCTAATCGTTGGAAGAAAGCCACATGACTTGACTCGAGTCATAGCGGCGCAGCTGCTTGACCATTAATGCAATGCGGCTCACATCTGACAGTTCCTGACCAATAACAATTTTCTCGTGCTGGAGCAACCTCTAGACTCAATCTGGTGCCGTGAGATTTTTTTTTTCTTTCTTTCCCCTCTTACCCAAACTCAAAGGGTGTCGTCAAGGGGACCCGTTTAGACGATGTAGACGACAACAAGACGGCCATGATGCTGGAGCTGCAGAGAAGTGCCTTTTTTGGAAACTATGTTTTTCAGGCTTCTGGTTGGCTAAAATGGCCTTCTGAGGGCAACTGACACATTGCTTCCCGTCGTGAAGTATTTGTGAGCACTGATGAGTCAGCGACGATGCTTGATTGATGACAGGCCTCGCTGAGTGTCCTCGTCGCGTTTGGCGCAACACCTGCGGCGTCTGGAAGCCCGCCAGGGCGTACTTAGACAAACACACGTTCGCCCAACCCATTTGCAGACGCCGCTGACACCGCTCGCCGCTCTGTTGTTCCGAACGTCTCCCAGAGGCACTTTTTGCTTCCACACATGTAGGAAAATATTAAGAAAGAATTCGCCTCGGAGCCGTTGCATGAGAATAGCATGTTGTGGCGGCAGACATCTGTGCATTTCCCACGTTCAGTGAAAATTGGCAAAAAAAGTGGGAAAATAGATGCCACCCAAAAAGTTGTGCGCTTTTTTTTTTTTTTTTGCAGTGGGGGAAGTACTGGTTTGCACATCCAACTCACAGTGCAGAGGTGCAGGTTTCGATTCCAGCTCCGGCCTTCCTGTGTGGGATGTGCATTTTGTCCCCGTGACTTCGTGGGTTTTCTTCGGGTGCTCGGGTTTCCTCACACGTTTCAACAACATGCATGGCAGGTTAATGGAACACTCTAAATTGTCCCTCGGTGGGATTGTGTGCGCAAGTGTGTGCACACACTCATCTTGAAATATTTGCAAGGGGATGTGCGAGGAATATAAAAGGCAAACTAACGGGAAAATATGACACGTGAACCTATTGAAGACCTGACTTTGTTGTTCCACTTCTTCAGGCAACAAACTAGGTGAGAGTGAATCAACGGTGCCGAGGAATGGGAGGGAGGTGGGGACAAGCTCTGGAATTGTTGTTCCGAGAACCACAGGATGTCCTGAGGAAGAAGCCAGTGCCGTGCAGAGTCGCTCGGCAGCGTTCAGCAGCGCTCCTCGAGAGTCTCCTCAAAACGCAAAATAAACCCTTTTCGGCGGCTGGTAGGAACGTGCTGTCGTCCCGGAATTTGCCGTCGCGGAGGGAAAACGGCAAAAGCTAAAACAAATAAGAAATAGCGGACCTGAGCCTTACGTATTCAAGGTTTTTTAAGGTAAGCGAGAGAGTGACAGAAGTAGAGCTTGTGCGCGAGTGTTTCCTGTTCCAGCGCAGACAGGAAACACAACGTCCAACGTCACCGGCTGCTACTTTGGTCACAAAACGGAGTTCTTGCTGACGAAAGTGCTTCCTGAAGATTTTTCACCTTCGATGGTCCTCAACTTTTTGCTGCAAAACTCTTGAGGATGGGCAATTGCTAATGCTGTTTCATTGCGGATTATAACACCCTGGACCGGATTTTTCTAAAGGTGACTCTTTTGTTTTGACTCAATATCCTGAAGGGTTCTGTCTAATCGTTGGAAGAAAGCCACATGACTTGACTCGAGTCATAGCGGCGCAGCTGCTTGACCATTAATGCAATGCGGCTCACATCTGACAGTTCCTGACCAATAACAATTTTCTCGTGCTGGAGCAACCTCTAGACTCAATCTGGTGCCGTGAGATTTTTTTTTTTCTTTCTTTCCCCTCTTACCCAAACTCAAAGGGTGTCGTCAAGGGGACCCGTTTAGACGATGTAGACGACAACAAGACGGCCATGATGCTGGAGCTGCAGAGAAGCTCCAGGGGTGCATGAACACGGGCAAAGTGTGTTTGATATTAGACGGGATTAATTTGAAGGGGGAAAAAAAAACTGTAGTTTGTTGTTTGGGTGTGAAATATATAATTTTGTGACACGAGTTCTTGAACTTTTCTGACACACCTCGTATGTTGGCAAGATTGTATGACTTTATTTCTGACTTGCTTATTAACCAAAGTAAGGGCTTCACTCAACTTACTTGAAACTTGAAGGTTAAGATTTGACACTTAGGACTTACTCCCACCTCTGGAAGGAAGCCTGAAGCTTTTTGGAAATAATCGCGTCTGAATTCAACGCACACACAGTCAGTGATACTTACTTTTCTTTCTCTCCACAGGCATCAACTTCGACGACGTCAGATCGGAAAACCTAGACGGAACGTTTGGCGAGATTCATGCGTCCATCGACACCTTGGCGTTCACATTCGGCAATGTGTGAGTGTTATACTGTTTGAACTTTTTATTGCTTGTAAAGAAAATGACGAGACTTTGAAGTATCAACTAAAGATGGCAAAATTTCCTCCATGTTGAGTTCACAGTCAAGTACAAACCCAATTCCAATGAAGTTGGGATGTTGTGATCAACATACCGGTAAATAAAAACAGAATACAATGACTCAAGGTCCACAAATTCCAAAAACAATTTGAAATATGAATTAGTCAGACCACACAGCACTTTTCCGTCAATCTAAGTCTATCGCAAGGCAGGATAGTGTTACCATGATTTTAACTTTTTAAATTTGAAGCAAAATGGTCATAAGCTAAGCAAAACTAATCAATTTATGGGCTAAGCATGAAGATAACTAAACGACAATTGTTTCATCATACTTGTGTGCCTTAAAGTTGGTATGAGCACTTTTTACAAGTTAAAGAACTGATGTTGGTGCTGATGCTAGCGCTAGCGCAATCTCAGCCTGGTCCATGAATGTTCGAGATGCTGAAATATAAGCTCAGGCAATGCCAATCATGTCATGCGCCTTTTGTTCAAGCCAATGAAGCATCACTATGATTTAGAAGCTGTTATCTTAAGCCATTGTGTTAAATCGAATTTGTGTCGATGCTAAAGGCTAACCTATGATCAGCTAAGTTAATCAATTTATAAAATCAAACAGCTGTGTGTTGTTAAGCTGCCTTATCATATTAGTGTGGTTGAAAGCTGATACTCGCACTTAGGAGTAAGAGAAGTAAAATTGTATCTTCATTAATGCTAAACTGTTTTGTTTTTTTTTTTGTGCGTGTGCTTCAGAGTTTCTGACTTCCTTATGGGAGATGTGGACAATGGCTCAGGGTTGGGGACCCCCCAGGCCAGAAGAAGCAGGGTAAAGCATTTTTTTCCCTCCTTTTTTCTCTCCTCCCTTTTCCTTGTTGTTTTTGTTGAAAGCTTTGTTCCCAGAAACTCAAAAAGCCTCAAAGATAAACTCTTAATTTGGGTGTCGAGAGCACAGCTGCTTGTTAATTGCATGTCTGCCTTTGCCTTCTTGTCACGTGAAATCGTGTCCCCCCCCCCTCCTTTTTCGCAGTCTTTCGACAACCTCGCTGTGGATCCCGAGGACTATGCGGCAGAGAAGAACGACCTCGCCGGTGAGTGGGCGTCGGCGTTCCATCGTTCAAGGGGCGTGGGATTGGCTGCGGAACGACATGTTTACGGCATGTTTGCCAAGGGCAGGCCGACGTTGTCAACTTACGAGCTCCCGGCGTGATTTAGGAATGCCTGAGGCAGAGACCCGCCCTGTTATTTCTGCTGGACCACACGTTTTCCCTGCTGGCCCGAATGTCTGACATTCCGAGGCCTCTTCAGGATAGGCCTGCGTTGGATGGGAAACACATGGGCTAAGAGTAGAAGTGAGGTGGGGTGGTGGGGGGGCTATTGTCTTTTTCAGAATATGCCAGCATTTTCACATCCTCCTGCTGTGTCATTTATCCGCTTCCTCGTGGCAATGTCTTTTCTGTTTTCGCGTCTCTCTTTTAGCATTTTTTAAATGGGATGTCATGTGGAAAAGTATCCGGGTATGATTTGGCGTCTACCTGGGCCAAGATCTGCCTTTTTTTTTTTTATTAAATGGCAAAAGTCCTGCTCACATCCAAGCGAGTCTGTCGTTCTGTCTTAGGCTTTGGATTCAGAGGGCACAGGTTTGAGTCCCCAATGTGGACAAAATTGTCCAAAAAAAGGCAAGTAGGTGTTTGGAGGCATGAAAGTTTGCTTGATGGTTACTGTTGAGGTGCCATTGAGCAAGACATTGTCGCCAATACGCCAGCTCAAGTGGTGCAGTCACCTTTGTGCATTTCTTTCATGATGAATATCTTCGGTAATGCCTGCATGGGTGTGTTATGCTTCTGTGTTCAACGCAAATTGTACAGAAAGTGTGAATTCGCCGTAAGCTAGGAATAACGCAGTAGTTCAGTCATAATTACAGTAAATACTTGAATATTAGAGGCAGCAAAAACTCATGAATGATTCTTGGTGTATTTTTTATGACCATTTAAGCACTTTGGAATTGTTTTGGTTCGTGTAAAAATACGTCATCTTCCCCCTCAGGCCCAGACGTTCCTCTGTCGCGCGAGGAGGAGGTGGACCTGATACTGCTGAAGCATGATAGCGGGGTGGAGTCAGCCCTGCTCTACGCCAAAGCCTGGTCCAAGTATATCAAAGACCTGCTGGCCTGGATGGAGAAAAGGGTGACCATGGGTGAGGCCTGCTCCATACACATCACACCTTTGGCCATGCTGGATCCTTTCCCTGCTGTCTTCGGACACCCTGAACTGGTTCCCAGCCAATCACGGAGCACACACTGACGAACGACCATTCGTGCTCACACTCACACCTCGGGACAATTCAGAGCGTTCCGTCAACCTAGCCTGCATGTTTTTGGCGGACGTGCCAAGCAGCCTACGCCGTGCCGCCTCATGTGCGGTATTGCTGGTGAATTTCACGTGAAAACTGGCTGAACTGACATGTACATTCCTTTTGTCTTCTAGATGTGGAGTGTGCCAAGAGCTACGCCAAACTGGCCGAGTCGGCCAAGTCGCTGGTGACGCAGCAGGTTGTTTATTTTATATTCCACGCACCTTCTTGATGAATCATCATGTTTCCTGAGTGGATGGATTAACGCTTTTACCACCGTGCAGGACTACATGCCCTTTAGTGACGTCTACAATTCCACCTTCAAGAACGATGTCGAATACAACCAACTTCTCATGCAAACCGCCATGGCCTTGCAGACCAATAAATTCATCCAGGTTGGGCAATATAAGAATACACAGATCTTGTGACAGATTTGATGTTTTCTTGGTTTATTTTCCTGTGTTGTGACGAACGTTTGGTGAACATTTGCGACCTTGAACAAACCCCGACAAACTCTCACGTGAGCGCAACATTCACGTTGGCCTTTTTCTACCCCCTTGTTAGCCTCTCCTGGGACGTAAGAACGAACTGGACAAACTGAGGAAAGACCTCAAAGAGCAGTGGCAGAAGGAGCAGAAGAAAATGGTGAATAGCACTCTGATGTATCGCGATACACAAAAATGAACTGAACAAGTGAGGGGGGCGGGGGGGTAAAAATACAAGAAGAAAGAGTTTAGCATTGTCTGTTTCTGTTCTATTCCAGCACGAGGCGGACGTGAGCCTGCGAAAGGCACGGGCGCTGAAGGCCCAGAGGCAAGAAGAGTATCAGAAGGCCCACTCGTACACCAGCCGCTCCCTGGAGGAGCAGCCCAGCGCTGTCAATAAGCAGCTGGAGAAGAAGAGGAGGTTGGAAGAGGAGGCCCTGCAGAGGGTACGCTGAACGCAGGGCACCGTGACCATCGTCGCTCCTTTTTTTTAAAACTCTTGACGGTGTTGCGGCATTAGGCTGAGGAGGCCCAGGAACAATACCAGAACAGCATGGCTGACGCGGGCGTCAGGAGGATGGACCTGGCCAATGTCAAACGCACCATCCTCACCCAGATCAGAGAGACCGTCTTCCAGTGCGACCTCACGCTCAAGGCGGTAGGCCACATTTTATTGTTCTTGTTCTTGTTTTAATTTTAATTGTTTTTTTTTTTTTTTTTTTTTTTTTTTACAAAGCCCCACCATATTGGACATTTCTGTATAAACTGACTATGGCACATAGTCATTTAGTTTATGTCTAGAAAGTTTTCGGTTTTATTTTCAAATTTAGTGTTTTAAATTTAATTTCATTTTTTTTTTTAAATGTGTCATTCTTACTTATAATAAAAAATTTTTTTTAATTTTACTATTATTTTTTTATGTTAGCCTTTTCTATTTCATTTTTTTACATTTCAGATTTTACGTCTTTATTTCAGAATTCAATGGTACCTATATTTCAAGTATTCATTCATATTTTTATTGATTTCATTTTGCTTTTTTTGGAGGGGGGGGGGCGGCTTTATGACATCAAACCAAGATAACAAACATACCGATTCTCATACGAGATTTCTATGACGTGTCTCACTCCAAACAGACGATGCCTAAAATGGTTAAAAGTAGAAGTAGGGTCTGATAACAAGATGTACCTAATCAAATGTCCGTTTATGCTCTTGTTGATTTTATTCTCTCATCGTGGCCCACCCTTCCTGCTTTCAGGTGACAGTCAATTGGTTCCAGATGCAACACGCGCAGATGGCGTTGCTTCCCGCCCACCACCAGGCATTGAGTGACGGCGCCAAGCTGTACGAGCCCGGCGAATGCTACTCGGAGTTTGTGCGCCGCCTGCCACGACATCTGCCCAGAGAGCGTGTGCATTCTGACTCGGTTTCTTCAGACGGTGCCAGGTATGGAACCGGAACTACCTCCGTTCATAGACACTGTTGGTAACCAAAACAGCAGCACCTAGAGAGGGGCTCAGATTAATTTTTTTTTTTTTTTTTTAAGGGTGAAGACTTAGGCTTATGATTTCCCTGAGCAATATTTAACAGTCCTTCATCTTTATGATAATATTATGAAAATGCCTCGCACGTCTGCATGCTAGTAAAAAAAAAAAAAACCTTTTCTCCCCTTGCCAATATTTGTGTTTGCTATCTAACAAACAAAACCACTTTTGGGACCTTTCCAAGCATTGTCAGCATTATACAGCCTTGAGCAAATATTCCAACCTCGTACCCTATAAAAAAAACAGATATGACAAATTAAAGCACCTTCGAGTCTTTTTTTTTTTTTTTTTAGCTTTTTTCAGGTTGAGAAATGACAAAATTGTACAAACTAAAGGACGCTTTTGGTGTGCGCTTTTGGTGAGCATGTCGTCCGTGTGGTGGGGTTGTTCTTTTCAGAAGAGTCACAGTGAGTCAGACCGGGAGGAAGAGAGAGAGAGAGAATGTGAGTGTGTGTTGGCCTTCCTCTCAGGAAATATCTGTGGCGCAGGCTTGAATGCAAGCGGGCAGATTGCGAGTGTGAGACTTTGCCTCCCGCATTTCTATCCAAACATACTGCTTCCCACATACACGCTACCCGTAGGGAAACATTACAATCACCAGGGTTCACACACCGGTGCTTGAAACGTGTGGAAATACGTGCTGAGTTTTTGGGGGTTTAAAAGGGTTTGATGATGTGATGATGGTTATTATTATTACATGTAATTAACTTCCTTTGGTTTTTGGCATTTTATCACCAAATGGCTATTGCGTAGATCGTCTCTATGGAGTAGGTGCTGTTTTTTAACCCCAAAAATTAAAACACCATAGCATCTATAGAATCCATATCATACAAAGTATCTTTTGTATTCATTTGTTTCAAAGTACAACTCTCAGTTGTTGTTGTTGTTTTTTTTTTTTGAGCATCTCCAATTCGAGTTGTTAATTTGAGCTCACATCAGCTTTATTTACGGAGCGCTTAAAACACTTGTTGTTGTTATTGTGTGTAGTAGTAGTAATACTATTTCTTAAAAAGAAAAACTGACAAAAGTTTTGAGAATTTAAAACTCCTGAGGTTTTCATAAATAACCTTACAAAATAAGAATACTAAAAAACAACTTAAAAAGTCCGTAGGATATTTTTTCTTTTTATCAAAATATAATGACAGTAAAAATAGAAAAATGAAAATATATTTTCACAATTTGTGTTTTTTAAACTCACAAAATTTGGGGCCGTATGTGTTCTTATTTTTATTTCTTATTCTTTTTATATTTCTTTTTTTTTCTTTAAAAATATGCATCTAGCATCTTTTTATTGATTTATTCTTTTTTTTTTTTTTTTTTTTTTTTAATGAAAAAGAAATTAAAAGGACCAGCCTGTTTTTCTTTCCTTTTCCACGCTTTGATTGAAAAAAAAAACCCATCCATCTCCAATGGGCTTCTAAAATGTTTACATTTGAGCAGAGAGGCTTCGGAGCCCTCAAGTTCAGCTATAAAATGACTGGAGATGAAAGCGAGGACAAACCACGCATGCGTCGTCGCATGTCGAAATAATGTTCCTCTTTTATGTAACGTGTGTGGCAAACCCTCATCAAAGGCAACGTTGCCATCTAATGCTCTCTCTGATGTTCAAACACAATTAAAAAAAAAGGGCGGGGGGGCTTCTGCCTTACTAGCTTTAACTGTCTCTCTATTGGGTTGAAGTCTGAAGAATGGATGTGTGTCATTTTTCCTGCAGGTTTGTGTTTGCCAAGCGGTCGGTGGGCAGCAGCCACTCCTCCCACGGCAACCTGTCCCAGGCCTCCCTCACCTCCTGCGACGTTCTCAGCGGCGACGAGGTGGACAGCCCGCTGCACCGCCGGCCGGGGATCGCCGCGCGCCGCTCCAACAGCAGCACTGACATTCCAGGTCATCGTCTACAAAATGGCAGAGGAGCGGCGTCCCGTTTCCCCGTGACGCGCCGCCGTCGTGACTAACGGCGCTTCCTGTTCCCGCAGAGTTGAGGAACCAGGCGCCGCCGATCCGAGCCTGGACCTCCGGAAGTCCGGGTAGCCAAGGTGGGATGTGCAGCGACTCAGAGAGTGCGGGGGGCAGCAGTGAGTCCAGGTCTATGGACTCCCCTTCTGCCAGTCCAGGTATGAATAGAAAGGGGCTCAAGAAAGCCACGGCGCATAATTTTACAATATTTGTTGACATGATTGATTTGCTTTCGCGGCGGGCCAGATCTGGCCCCCGGGCCTTGAGTTGAACATCTGCGATCTGCTGTATGTCAGCGACATATCGCGAGACACGATTCACAGTCCTGTTTGAAATGTGTCAACGTAGGTGATTTCAAGCGACGTCTGCCCAGAACTCCCTCCACTGGCACCATGTCTTCTGCTGACGACCTGGACGAGAGAGAACCCCTCTCACCTTTGGACAATGGTATGTATGACCCACCCACCCAATAAATAATACAAAGTATTGTTTCAAGTGGTGTTCCAAAAGAACAGCCAAGTACATTTGCCGGACTTTTTGTCAGTGCTGTACCCACCATGTTTTTTCTTTGTTTTTTTTTTTTGTCCTCCCAAAAAAAAAAAACGACTAAGGAACTAAATGTTGACACTTGGTTGCAAATGGACAATGAACATCCAAAAGTTCCTAGTTGCATACCGGAAATGCACTAAAAGTGTCTCAGAGTTCGCCTCACCCTCAGGAACCTTGACAAATGAGTCACTCCCCGCTCACATCACATTCTTGGTATTCTTTTGTCTCTGAGTCAAGTTTGTTGTACTTCCCATGATGGTCAGCTTTTGAAAAAAAGGTACACCTCGATAATAATAGAACTGATACATCTTTATAAGTAGAACCTTATCCTGGAAAAAAAAATACCTTTTCTCACAATATCACACATATTTTTTCAAAAATAAAACACCTCTGTCTTTAGAAAAAAAATGTTAAAATGCATGTAGACAAAACAACATCATGTACAAAAGCAACTTGAACAGAAATGTATTAAAAAAAAAAAACATCTCGGATCACTTCAGCTAAAATCGTCTACATCCTTAGTTAAAAAGATCATTCAATTCTACCAAGGAAATAACTTTTATATATAAATACATAAATAATCGATGTTTCATTGAGTTTTTCATGTTTTCTGAAAAAAATAACGAGAAACGACTAAGGCCGTTATTTTAGGCCAGCCTTTTTTGTCCCCCCCATCCCATCCCCCTTTTCATCTGAGTCCTCTTATTTTCTGCTAGACTTGACTTCCTCTATCTGCCCTCCACTCCCCATCGTCAGAATGAACGTCCTTCTCCCTTCTATTCAGGTCTGGCCGAGATGGTGACGGAGACGGCCAGCTCTCCCGGGCCCTTCCGGAACGCTCAGATGTCCAAAGCGGCGCAGACGCACAAACTCAGGAAGCTCCGAGCGCCGTCCAAGTGCCGCGAGTGCGATAGCCTGGTGGTCTTCCACGGAGCAGAGTGCGAGGAGGTAACGTACGGGCCCCGCACTGTCTTCATCAAAAGAACCTGCCTCATCTCCATTTATTTTTTTTCTTGTCCCTTCCTCCAGTGTTCGCTGGCCTGCCACAAGAAATGTCTGGAGACCCTGGCCATCCAGTGCGGCCATAAGAAGCTGCAGGGCAAGCTGCAGCTCTTCGGCATCAACTTCACCCAGGCGTCCAAAAACAGCGCAGACGGGATCCCCTTCATCATCAAGAAGTGCACCTCTGAAATCGAGAGCCGCGCTCTCAACATTAAGGTGAGACGAAACCGTATCCCTTCAGTTTTAAAAATAGCCTGGGTGGCACAGTCACGTCTCGTGATGGTCATGTTGTTGTTCACGTGTGCTTCGATGAGAACTCCGAGCAAGCTGCGGAATTGTACTTTATGAAAAGGAATAAAATAAAGAAATGGAATGTCAAGAATTTAAGTTTGAGCATCATGATTTCGTGCCGTACTTCAGTGAGGCTCCTCCTGGCATGCACGCCATCGCCACAAGGAGGCAGTACAAACGCTTCATTTTTTTGCCCCCAAAAATTAATAAAATTCCAAATCAAGTGTTTATATCATACGGTGGCCTTAATGAGAAACAACAAAAGAAGTACACTGTTTAGGCGTTTACCAGTACACGTGCAGGACAAAGGGGTTGGAAAATATAAAACTAAAAAAATAGAGAATCCTGCAATTGGCTGGCAACCATTACAGGGTGTCCCCCGAAGACGATAGGCTCCAGCACCCCCACGCGACCCTCGTGAGGATAAAGCGGATCAGAAAATGGATGGATGGATTGATGCTCATTTTCTTACCCCAGCAGTGGCATTTCACCTTAGCGTGAAGCAAGCAGATTTCCATCAGGTCAAGTTAATGTGATCTGGATAAATTCACATCGTGCAATTCTTGATGTTTCGTTTGACAGGAAACTTAGAAATGAGCTTTTCGAAGCAAGCACTTATTCACTGTCAAACTGCCGCTTGTTGTGAAGTTCCCTGCCACCATAGCGAGTGCTCATAACTCAAATCTTTGGTTGTAACTCAAGACCACTTGTTTGTAAGTCGGAAATTCCGAAACAATTGACCACGCTGTGTTTTGGGTAGGGCATTTACCGCATGAATGGCGCCAAGTCACGCGTGGAGAAGCTGTGCCAGGCCTTTGAGAACGGCAAAGACTTGGTGGAGCTGTCGGAGCTGTCGCCGCACGACATCAGCAACGTGCTCAAGCTCTACCTGAGACAGGTGAGGGAGGCGACATAATCGGAGGCAAGTTCCCAAGTGGCTGGGAGCAAGCAATCTGATTGGACGATATGAAGTGCTTTGATCTTCCGGCCACGCCACATGACGTTTTGGGGTTTTTTTTCATTGTGATACTACTATGATTTTATCCTGAAAATACAAATGTTTCTGAAGGCTATCTTGAAAATGGGAAACCGCCGGAGAAAAAGTGAGATGCTAAAAATACACATTTTACAATACATACACATACAATTTTTTCCTGTAATGAATTTTTTGACTCAGAAAACTCCCAAAATATTTGACTTGGAAATATACTAGCTTTTTTTGTTGTTGTTGTTGTTGTTGCTTTTTTTTTATTTTATTTATTTAATTTTTTTTTTTTGCTGTTTTTGTTTTTAGACATTTGTTAAATGAAATGCTAATTTGTATCCTGAGGAAATACGTTTTACCATTATACTGTATCTGGATTTTTTTTTCCCCCTGGAAAATCTGTGATACGAGATTTTCCTATAAAATATAAAATTTTTAAATTGAAAAAAAAAACCTTTTTAACTTGAAGAAATAAAACTACGCCCCGCCCCCACAAAAGACACGTTTTCCTACTTTGAAAGAATAGAACCAAAATGGAAAAATAGAAAAAATATATATTTTTAGCTAGAGAAAGTATCAGAAAGAGAAAAACACCTTTTCTCATTACGTGAATGTTTTTATTTGGAACACAAGTCTGTTTGATACAATTCAATTTTTCACCTTGAGAAATTTTTACTTGTTTTTTACTTGAACAAAATCTTTCTAAAAAAACAGACGATGCCATTCTTGTAAATACAAAGCTTTTTATCATCCGAATATTGAAACTACCCCACCTCTCCGCCCCCCACTGCTTTCCTGTAAGCAACGCTCAGTCTCCTCATGGAAGAAATCTGTCTTAGCTTGGAAAAGTCAATACAGGTGACCTCTGTTGTTTGTTTTCATGGATAGTTCCCACCGACGCGTTCAACGTCATGCAGTTCGCTGAGCCGCCTTGTGTCGCTTTTTCTTTGCGCGCAGTTACCAGAGCCGCTGATCCTGTACCGCTACTACAACGACTTCATCGGCTTAGCCAAAGAGTACCAGCGAGTGGTGGTGGAGGAGGCCCAGGAGAGAGAGGCCAAGAAGCCCGGCGGGGCCGCCATCCGTCTCAACCGCGTGGTCCTCCGCATCCGGGACTTGCTCCGCCAGCTGCCTGCCGCTAACTACCGCACGCTACATTTCCTCGTGGCGCACCTCAACAGGTAGCCCGTCCTCAAATGTCTGTTACTCGGTTTGTTAGCCCTCCAAAGCACAAAGCATCCAAGTTCGATTTTATTGTTGTAATATTGCAACTTTTTCTAAAAACAAGGTGCAGTTTTATTCTTGTATTGTATACTAATTCCATACAATATTCAGACTTTTTCTGCAAATACACTTAAAAAATAGTTTATCTGAAGACATGTCATCACATTTTAGTGGTGTTCTATTAGAGTTAACTTGTTGGTGTAATACAGTAAAGCTTTTTTTCATCTTTTTTGGAAAATAATACTTGATACCGACTTGAAAAAAACATACTTTTGAAAACTGAAAAAAATGTCTTCAAAATAAGTCACATTTTATTGTCATATCGTTTTTCTTAAAAAGAGTCTTAACTATGCGTTTAGTATTTCATCTTTTTTTTCTCTTGCAAAATTCTCATAGTATTACAACTTTTATTTTATGATATTTTTTTAGATACAATTTATTTGTGGAATGTTTTGAATCCCCCCCCCCAAAAAAATTTGTTTCCTTCAAAAATTAAAATATTTTTTTACAGAAAAACTTACACACACAAAAAAAAAATTTGGTAATATTCAATTTTTTCTCAACATGCCAATTTTTCTTGTAATAGAGTTACTTTTCATCCACAATAAAAAGTCCCAACTTTCTGCTAATATCACGCGTCGGTCGGTCGGTCGGTCTTGCGCAGAGTGGCAGAACAGGCGGAAGAGAACAAGATGACGGCGAGCAACCTGGGCATCATCTTCGGCCCCACACTGGTGAAGCCGCGGCAGGCGGATGCCGAGGTGTCCCTGTCCTCCCTGGTGGACTACCCGTACCAGGCCCTCATGGTGGAGCTGCTGGTGCGACACTTCCCGGTGGTCTTTGACGCCCCGCCGTCGAGCGAGTCGGATGCCCCCTCGGCCGCCAGCCAGACGTCGCCTGTCCTCACACCCCAGGAAAAGCTGCAGCGCCTCAGCAGACATTCTGCCTCCTTGACGGATATTAAAGAGGTACGGCTTCCGTTTCGGAAAATGTATTTTGCTGACCTCAGGTGGAATCTGCAGAAATATGACTTTTCAGGAAACCAAAAAAAAAAAACCTTTTGTGTTTTGAGCCATTACCAGTGACGTTAATTGCTAAGGAGACAAATAAATTACTCTGTCACGTTATTGCTATGTCAGCGTGCTAACGTTGTATTATATCTTGTTAGGATTAATACACGACAACTTGTGTTGTCATTGTATTATTTCTCCTTTGAAATCCATTCCAAATCCTCAACTACAAGACACCATGTCAGATCTTTACCAATCTGCCGAAGCGCTTTCTCAAGCTAGTAGCATGACAACTGTGACCTTGTTAGCATTCACCAAATCAGCTGAGTTTCAGTTTCTCCTCCCCCCCACCCCCGTGCAGAGTGCCAAAGTGTACAAGAGGTTCTCCTCCGTCATCCCATCCTCTCACATCCTGGACGAGGTCCAGGAGGTCCAGCCCGGAACCGACCGGACGGACTCCTCGGACGGAGTCAACGGTGTCGATGAGGTACCGGGCCTACAGAGGTCCGGGCCAGAGTTGGGCCACGCCGCTGCCACCGGCCCCGCGTCTGCGTCGGCCACCCTGGCATCGATGGTGCAGCTGCGAGCCCATCGCGCCCGATCGTCGTCCCGACCCATCAGCCTCCCAGCGCCTGCGGAGCCCGCCGACCCGCCGAAGGAAACCTTCAAGGAAACGCCGGGAGCGGAGCCGGCAGAAGCTCGCGCCGGCTCGTCGCGAGTCAGCGCCTACTATATCACGCCATTTATCGACACTCGGGCCATGCAGCGACGGACGTGGGACAGGAAATACAGACATTACGACGTCACACCCAGGACCGCCATGATCGTGGCTAAGCTGCCCGCCGCCAGCGCCGCCGCCGCCGTCCCGGCCCCCGCTAGTACTGTCAGCACCGTGTTCCCCAACAACCCTTACGCCGTGTCCGTCAAACCCGCCTGGACGTCCGAGCGGGACAACCAGCCGTCGTCCAGCTCATTGTTGACGCTCAGACCCCCGAGGACTCTTCAGCCCCCGCCGGGGACTTTCTACAAGCCCCCCGTCAGCAGGGCTAGGACGCTCCCCGACTGGACCACCACCATCACCGCCACTACTAACACCCCCGTGTCCCCCACCGCCGCGCCCCCGAGCCCGCCGCACAGCCGCCTCCAGACGCAAGACTCCACCGACAGCGCCATCGACGCCGGGGCGGCTTCCCTGTCCCCCCCGCAGTCGCCGCCCCCCAGCAGCCCTGACGACCCGGACCCCGGCGAGACCAAGGCCATCTACCAAAGACTGCGACCTCGGCGGCTCCAGGAACTGGAGCACAGGGAGGCCCATTTTGTTTGAGAAGTTTTCCCTTGCCGTCAAAAGTGGCCCAAGTGCTAATATATTCCCAAAACTTCTCATTCTGAACAAAACCACTGAAACAAGAGCCAGCGGATCACTTTTCCTTCTTTTGTGTCCCCAAGTTTTGCTGGCATCCTGCAATGCACTTATGCAGCTTTTATACTCGGAACGTTTAAGCTAAATGTGTTTGTACCCCTTTTAAATGGTGTAGCGTTGTTTTCTTACAAAGAGTGTATGGGCCACACGGAAAAGAAAAAACTGCTTCAATTTTTATCAAAAGAGAGAGAGAGAGGAAAAAAATATATTTTGTATTTTTTGGGAGAAAAAAAAATCGGTTCATTTTTTTGTGTGTATTTTTTCCAGAAGAAATGTCATTCTGTTTGTCAATGGAAAAAAAATGTATTTGTGAAAAAGAAGTTACATGATTTGAGATTCATTTTTTCATCATAAAAAATAAGCAAATATTTTTCTAAGAAAATAAAGGAATGGATAATGAATGAGTGGCCAGTATTGCAAACAGTTTTCTAATGATTTTTTTATTATTTTCTTGGGCGGGGATGTTCCCCCCCAATTCCCCTATTTCATGAAAATGGCATATTTGAAGGTTTATCAGTATTTATTGTCATCAAAATTGTGCGTCCAATTTTTTTTTCAGAGGGAAGAAAAACTATTTTTGGAGAACAATAAAAACAGTTTTTTTCAAGAACAAATCTATGTTCTGCAGCAAAACGTATAACCGTAGGGAGGTTAGTTTTATATTTGTTACTTTTTCAAAAATATCTATTTGTAAACAAGACAGTTCTTGGAATGAAAAGGATATTTTTCAAAACAAACGCTTGAGAGAAAAAAGTATTTTCTTGAAAAAAACTTTCTTTTTACAAAGTTAAATTTGGTTTTGTATTTTTTTAAGAACAAGTTGTCAAATCGTATTTATTGAGGGTTTCTTTGTTTTGTTTTGTTTTTTTTTAATTCTAGAGGAAATATTTGGAAAAAAGAGTTAGTCATTGCAGGAGGAGAAGTGGAGGAAGGTTCTGAGAAATCTCTTGGCTCGATAAAGATGAGATATGTATCTTTAATAAAATACAAGTACAGTACTTAATAATTGAAATACTTGTCCTCTTTTTTTCATATTCTACTATTATCACACCTTTGAAGGGGTTGTGTCGATGGAATTGGATTTCAGGATTTCTTTTCTTATCACGTTTGTGACTTTTTTTCTTACGGAATTCTCTTCCCAATACGACATTGTATGTTTTTTTTTTCCTTTTTTTTCCGTGTGGCTCCTTGCTATCAATACTGCCATGATTGGTACCTGCTTTTGTCAATATGTAAAGCATATTTATGGTTTGTTGTTTTCCTTCTCCTTCGTACTGCATTTTTTGGGGGGGTGGGGGGGTTGCGTCTCCTTGCAATGGCGACCTCATACACGACGTGCGGCACGTCTCGCCGCAGATTAAAGGAAAGAAAAAAAGTTGTTTCCTGGCAAAAATCTGTTTTCTTACAGTCTGTACAATTGGACAATTGATGTTTTTGTCGTTGTGATGTTGCATCACACTCTCCCACCTGATTACCGGTGGCACCCGAGGAGCCTTGTCGAGCCGCTCAGTCAATGACTCACCTCGGATGTGTCACGTCTGTCACGCACGTCCATGAGACATTTTCTCATAGTATTATTATATCTTAAAAAAGTTTATGACTATAAAACAATACATCTTGGGGAAAAAATACATCTTGGGAAAAAATAACTTTTTTTAAAGGGCTTTTTCTCATAAAACAATTTTTGACGTGGGAAAATATGTATACCTTGACATTTTTTTCTTTGTTCGACTTTAAAATAATACAACTATATCTCTCTCCAAAAAAAAAAAAAAAGACGACCGGTATTCTTGTAATATTCTCAAATGCTACGATCTCAAACTTCCAAAAAAAATAACAAGACTAAGCGCAGAAGGAAGTGGGTATTTGTCCGTCAATTTAATCGCCACTATCAAACATAGCATGTCAGAATTAAACCCAGCAAATATCAGCAATAATAGAATTTTTTTTTTTAATTGGATTGTGCAAATGCACTTGTTATTTCCAATTTGCGCACTCTCCCTCTCCTTCTTTTAGTTGTGCTTCAAAATGGATGATGTCTCTGCGGCATCATCTACCTTGTCCCTCTCGCCTGGTGTTCTACATGCGGCGTACCTTGGACACTGTGCTACCTCTGAGGTAAGGCTCTCTCACACACACACACAAACACACAAACACTGCATAATTTTATTTCGATTGTCACGCGTCATGTTGGAGCATCAGGCTCTGAGTGAATGTGAACTACGAGAGAACTGCTGTGCTTCTGCTTACTTGGGTGCCATGAGAAAAACCCGGATGCAACATTGTGGGATTGATATGTAATGGCAGACTTTTTGTTTGCTTTCAATATTTTGTGCATTTGAATTTAATCTCACAATATTGTGGCCTTTTTGTCTTGGAAAAAAAAAAAAAGATTTAGATCCCAAAAAATAGTAATAATAAAAATTAACAAGGGAGAAAGAAAAAATAAGATCCTCTGTCCGGTAATAGAACTTTGTGTTGTGAATTTATGACATTTTTTTAATCGAAATGTTACAACTTCGCTGTCCAATGTATGACTTTTTATGCAAAACCTTCTCATAATATTTACATAATAATAATAATAATTTTGATTTGAAAAATGCAGTTTTTTCTCCTTTCTGACTTTATTTCTAGAAAGAAAAATCTATCATTTAATTTTCATAATATATTATGATGCTGTCTTTAAAAACATGTCTTGAGATTCTGATGAGAAAAAAACATTCTTAAAATGAACACAACTTTATTTATTACTTCTTCTCATACTATCACACTTCAAAAATATTATATTTAATTATTCAGTAGTCATGATTTGCCTATGGCCCTGCAATTGATATTTCTTTATTATGAGGTGTGCCAGCATCATTCCGATTACCGGTAAATCTTTTTTCTTTTGTTTGTTTGTGTTTTTTTTTTTTTTTTAAAGACAGATGCATATTTTCTCCCACCTGCACCCTCAGCATGACATCATAGCTTGTCAACATTGTTCCAAACAAATTACTCCTCATGTACGCTTGTCATCTGCATCACTTGGTCGGGAATTACACATTTTTTTACATTGTTGCTTTCATGTTATTGTTTTGAAGTCTCCCTTTTAAACCTTTCCACACGTTACATTCACCAGCGGCAGACAAACACTCTCCATGTTTTGTGTACGTGGCTAAATCCAAAACATGATTTTGTGGTATTTTGTCACATTGTTCTCTGTGCTGTCTCTCAATCACAACCAGTTGGTCAGCTGCAGATGGCAGCCCGCCACTGCATCTTCTCATCTTGAAACGGCTTGATTGTCCAGGATAAAAAGTCCGCTTTCTTTTCAAGATTTTTTACAGCTAGGCGCCACACTTGAATATATGTTCTTCTGTAGGTGCTGCTCTTTTGGTTAGCAACAGAGTTCAAATGGGCCCAGCGGTTGAAATTTTATCGACCGCATCAAAATGATCACACATATCGTCTGAATTAATATAATTAGCTACTTCAGGTTGTGTGTGTGTGTGTGTGTGTGTGTTTTGTTTTTATATTACGGGTAAAAAGGTCTATTTGGGCAGAGCTATTTTGTAGCCGAAACTTGACTTGTTTCCACAGGTTGAGCAAAGTCACATGACTCCATCTGAGAGGGAGGCATGAAGACGGGCTCTCAAATCCGCCTGTTGCTTTGGAAGAACTGGACCCAGCGAAAAAGGCAGAAGGTGACATCGAAAATTGTCCATCTCTCGCACTCGGATCCTGCTTCAAAAGCCTTCTGACCTGTCTGGCACTTGTTTGTCGCAGATTCGTTTCCTGGTGGAACTCTTGTGGCCCGTGTTGCTGTTCATCGGCCTGGTGTGGCTGAGGAAGGCAAACCCGCTCTACCAGCAGCATGAATGTAAGAGCGCGGAGAAAATTGGAAAGTAAAGCATGACGCACACAACACTGCGGATTGACCACTTTGCGAGGAATTCGTTGACAACGTACAGCAAAATGCCGCACTTAATTTATGTGCGGTGGTTTTTAATCGACTTTGATGTTCTTTCATCCGTTTTGTTACACAATTTGGGATGGAATTATCTGGGATGCGTTTTTTTCAAGCCATTCTAGTTGGGTAAAAATGCCTGATATCTTGAACAGGCCGATTTCTCGTTAATATTTAACATGTTGATAAGCTTTGTTGTGATTGTATCGCTAAATTATAAATATTGTTAAGTATTGCTGTAAAACACCGTATAGAGGCCAACTTGGCAAGCAGTGCAAAGTTTTAGCAGGCGCAGCTGTTGGCAGGCCATTTTTTTTCTTGAGTGCACGTCCAGCAAAGTCGGCAGTTACTTGAATAATGAGCAGCAATTGGACAAAAATTAAAAATATACTCCAATTTTACTTTAATATAAGATATAATGTTTTTCTTTTTTTCTTTGACAAATAACTTTGCTGGTTCCAGGTCATTTCCCCAACAAGGCCATGCCATCCGCTGGCGTGCTTCCTTGGATCCAGGGCATCTTTTGCAACGCCAACAACCCCTGCTTCCAACACCCCACCAGAGGAGAGTCTCCGGGAGTTGTCTCCAACTATAAAAATTCCGTGTGAGTGACTGACTTAATTCTTTATCGTTACTGTATGTCGTCTTACTTTGGGTTTTTTTTTTTGTTTGTTTGTTTGTTTTTTTTTTTGCTGCTTCAGATTGTCACGCTTCTACACCGACATCTTGGAGATGTTCAGTGACACAGAGGTGCACCAGCTGAGACTACTGTGGCACGAATTGTCCACATTCTCCGACTTCATGGATACGTTGCGCAATAACCCAGCTGTCATGTCAGGTACGATGGGGATAGGGTGACCGCTATTGCGCCTCAAACACCTTCCAATGCTAGAAAAACACTGTTAGAAGATACAAATCAAAGTCCCTTGGCCATAAAAAGTCAAAGGAAACCACAGATGGGATTCCAGCCACAGCAGATTCAAATCAAAGTCCACAGATCAGTCTGAAAATCCCATCAAAGGAACACAACAGGAAGTAGAATCCTTTCAAATTTATACCACCAAACGCACAAATAGATACGCTGAAATGCACCACCATAGAAGATTTAAATCAAAGTCCTCTTTTGACAGCTTCAGCTTCGCGTTCTCTCAAGGGAACCAAACAAGGAGGTGGAAAGCTACCAAAATAAAACGTGTAACAGCACAGTTGTTGTTGCGTTCAGGTCACGGTCTGAAAATCGAGGACATCCTGAAGGATGACGAGCTTCTGACCGCGTTCTTACTTCGAGACGCCGAGCTCCCCGAGTCTGTCGTCTATCAGCTAACCAACGCCGAGATACGAATAGAACAGGTAAGGCTTGAGGATGCTAATGCTATTGCTAATACTAATGGTAATCACTGGATCATAGCTTTTCGGACCCAATTCAATCCATTACAGTCTAGTTAATGTACAGTGTATAAAATTCAGATGGGAAGAAAAAGGTAACATTTCAAATGTTTTTCTTTTTAAATGTATTGTTGAATTGGATGTATTTTTAACGTTTATTTCCTGTGCTTTGTTGCTCGATAGTTTGCATCAGGCATCCCAGACCTTCAGCTGAAGGACATTGCGTGCAGCCAGGCGCTGCTGGAGCGCTTCATCATCTTTCCGAGCCGCCACGGCCTCCACGGCGTCCGCAACGCCATGTGCGCCCTTAGCCAGCCGCGGCTGCAGAAGATCGAGGACGTGCTCTACGCCAACGTGGACTTCTTCAAGATCTTCCGACTGGTGAGAGTTTCGTCATGCCGTTAACCCCCGTGCGTCCTCGGACTTAATGGTGTACCTAATAAAGTGGGTGGCAGCGCTCAGCAGGTGACTCAGGCTTTATCTGTCTTGCCCCTGTTTCCCTAATGGGCTTAGGTTAGACCCCGCCCAAAGGCGCTAAGACGTGACCTGCGGCGTCTTGTCTTGGCCGACAGATTAAAGCAGTTGTACGCCATGCTCATATGCAAATGCTCTTATCCCATTGAAATGAATGGATAAACTATTAATCCGTTCCATCCCCCGTCCACAAAAAACTTTTTTTTTAAATTAGGAAAGTAGTCTTTTTTCAACAGTCTTGAATAAGTGGGGTCATACCGCCAATCAAACTTTTCCAGAGAATTCTGAAGCACGCTGATCCCTACGTGCTTCATTATAACTTTCCACCTTCCTCCAACGATCCCTCGTCAGCCTCACTTCCCCTTCCTCCTTCCACTTCCTGTTCGCTTCATTGAAATGTGCCAGGAAGGACGTCTCGGGTGATTGTATTTCCTCCGGTTCCCCTTCCTCCTTCCACTTCCTGTTCGCTTCATTCAATGCGCCAGGAATGACGTCTCGGGTGATTGTATTTCCTCCGGCGCTTTCCCAATATTACCCTGACCCACTTCCCTTGAACTTGACCAAGA